AAGGAAGATGAAGTAGTCAAATGTTTATGGATGGATGGATGACAGCGTTCCTATTGGATTCATGGCTGCAGCCTCTGAAGGTCGGCAGCTGACTGAGTTCATTATCCAGTCCTGTGTTGACACCAGAACTCTGTGGTTCTGTTCTCAGCTTCATCCCTGATCTCCTCCTCCTCCTCCCTCCTTCTCTCTGCTGTCAGGAATACAAAGTGTCCAGTTTCGAGCAGCGACTCATCAGTGAGATTGAGTTCCGTCTGGAACGTTCTCCAGTGGAGGAGTCTGATGATGACGTGGAGCATGACGAGGACTCTGTCGGCCAGGGGGTGGCGCCATCCTTTGACCAGAAACTGAAGCACTACAAAGTGTTTGAAGGCATGCCCGTGACCTTCTCCTGTAAGGTCTCTGGAGACCCCAAACCAAAGGTAGGAACTCCAGCTGAGGGGGCAAACTGTGAGCCAACTGTGGGCGGAGTAGACTGAGACTAGGACTAAGACTATGTCTAGGTCTAAATCCAAACCAGTTTGAGCGTCCAGTATCTTAAAATATATTCTTTGTCTTCTTCATCTCACAGTTCGCCAGCTTCCAGAACTAGTTTGAACCAGTTTGAACAAGTTTCTCTCTCCTGTGCTGTGACAGGTTTATTGGTTTAAAGACGGTAAACAGATTTCTAAGAGGAGCGAACACTACAGGATCAGCCGTGACGCTGACGGAACATGTTCTCTGCACACTGCTGCCGCCTCGCTGGATGACGACGGCAACTACACCATCATGGCAGGAAACCCAGAGGTGAGTGGAGAAAAGAGAGGAAGCAGCTGTACCATGGAGAATAATTAGTACCAGTCCACCCTCCAGTACCAGGTGGAACCATCTGGTCTCAGACCTAAGATAATGAGCTCAGTCAGTGTCACCGACTGTAGACAGGAAGAAGATGTTCTTCAAAGATGGTTTGGTTGAACTGGAGCCATCATCAAGCTGGAGGTGTACTTTAACAAACAGTAACTGGTACTGTATGAAGTAAAGTCTGAGAGTTACTGTGAAGATGTAAAAAACACAAGTACCTGAGAGTAGAAGTATGTACTGTGATGATGATGATGATGATGATGATGATCAACACGTCTCTGTCTCAGGGTCGTGTCAGCTGCACCGGCAGGATGATGGTCCAGGCTGTGAACCAGAGAGGACGCAGCCAGAGGTCAACACCTGGTCACATGAGGAGGTTAGGAGACAGGAGGGTGGAGGAGACACAAGGGTGGAGGAGACAGTTGGACTGACCTTCTCAGTATCATAAACAGTCATACAGATCAGTGTGTGTGTGTGTGTGTGTGTGTGTGAGGTCAGATCAGCTGAAGGAGACTCACCCACAGGGAGAGAGTGAAGTGTTAGTCCAACAGCCAACTCAATGTGTCCTCCTCTCAGACCCAGGTCCAGGTCCAGAGACAGTGGTGACGAGAACGACAACATCCAGGAACGTCATTTTCGCCCCCACTTCCTGCAGGCCCCCGGTGACCTCATCGTCCAGGAAGGAAGATTGTGTCGAATGGACTGTAAGGTAAATGTCACAGAGGAAGCCATTAGAACTGGAGCAGCAGTGGATCTAAAAATCACTGGTTCTCTCTATATGGTTTGGTGTGGGGGGCAGTAGGGGTGCAGNATGTTTGGCCCTGTCTGTGGCTGACCTGCAGTACCTGTAATGACCACTACACTGTGATCAGCCTGTTATCTCTGAGCTTAAATCCATGATTTTCTCTATGGGATCTGGTGTGGCCCAGTCCCATCTCATTAAAACCACACAAAGACTTGAAACATCTCTTGGTGTGGTTTATACACCCAGTACCCCAGCCCACCACCCTTCTGTGGGGTGGAGGCTGAACATCACACAGATGTTTTGTGATGGAGGAAATAAAGGAGTAGTTCAGAAAAACAGTTGAACAGAGGAGCAGATGAAACAGAGGAGAACCACAGACACAGAGAGAACAGACGTTTCAGAACC